AATCCTAGCCTCTTAATTTGCTCTGACGAAAGGGTCTCATCCTTGCTCCTCATCACAGAATAGCAGAGTGACTCCTGGCAATCCAGTGGAGTCCTGTCACTGAGAATAGTGACTCAAGGTCTTATGCCGAGGCCCCATTCATCTAAATAGTTAATAGCTGCTGGGCCAGCTAATATCTATGCACTGAAAAACAGCTCCTATTCTATTCTATTCTATTCTATTCTATTCTATTCTATTCTATTCTATTTATTAAAGATTTCTGTCTCTTCCCCACCGCCGCCTCCCATTCCCCCCCTCCCCCAGTCAAATCCCCTTCCCTTGTCAGCCCAAAGAGCAATCAGGGTTCCCTGCCCTGTGGGAAGTCCAAGGACCACCCACTTCCATCCAGGTCTAGTAAGGTGAGCATCCAAACTGCCTAGGCTCCCACAAAGCCAATAGGTGCAGTAGGATCAAAAACCCATTGCCATTGTTCTTGAGTTCTCAGTAGTCCTCAGTAGTGAAGCCTGGCAATACGGACAGGAAACTGAAAGCTGCCATAGCAAAATGCACAAAAGACGCTTAGAGAGAACAGGTCATGGGAAAGAATTTATGTTCTCAAAGTCCACCACAGTGATGTTTTCCTCCATCATGGTTCCATGTCCTAGGGGTTCCTTAACCTCTCCAAACAGTACCAACTACTAGTAGAAATAAAAAAATCTTCAAATACAAGAACATGTGAGGAACAATTCTAAAAACACCCTACCTATATAATCTCTAAACTATGTTTAATAGAGTTTTAAATCTTACCGTTTTTACCTTGTCAGACTTTTAATAACCAATCATCCTCCCTTATTGATGTAATAATTCTTCTAAAAATCATATGCTGTTACCAATTTTAATTTCCTAAATGAGTAGTAACTCATTTATATTGTTATTTATAGCAGTTCATTTATATTATTGATTACAATCTTTAATTATTCGTGCTCTAAATATTCAAGCCTCACCATTCCCTGCATCTACATCTGTTTCCTCTAATTTTAATTCCTCCTCTTCCACTTCGTTATAAACCCTGCATCCTAATTTAAAGTTTGTGTGCCTTTAAGTATCCATGCTCCTATCCCACACATAACTCCTTATAATCCTTTCAACTAAAAAGACTGCTACCTTTTATCTCCATGGTGATCCTGAAACTAGTCCTCAACACTCTTGGCCTTCTCATTTCTGGCTTCATTGTTTATGTACCTGTGTTATACCTCTTTGTAGTCTGTGAGATCTTCAGGAGCGAATCCACACCCATTTCCATACTTTCATTTTCAAAGCATTCACACTTGAATATTCAACTGCTAACTTTATAAATGGATTTGATACTTAAAATTCTTTAGGGCAGAAAAGCAATAGGGTAAATATCTAATCTAATCTAATCTATCTATCTATTATCTATCTATCTATCTATTTATCTATCTATCTATCTATCTATCATCTATAGTACTTTATGAGAAGGCTATTTGTCTTATTAGGGATGTTCTGACTTAACTGTGATGTAATTCTTGGAGAAAAGTGATACTAATGCCATCTCCAAATGTCTTAAGATTCTGGTTATCCGTCTGTGAAAAGTGTGATTACTTTTATTCTTATTCCTCCTAATAATTTTGTTCCATAAGCTTCAAATTATGTGAGCTTGTTAAACAAATTTATCTCGTATCCTAAGAAGCAAGATATTATAGAATAACCCAGAAGAAGGATACAGAAAACTCAAGCCATGATTAAAACAGTTGGAAACCAGGACCATTGGAGACCTGCTACTGTGCTGATGGTATTTCACAACCAGCTTTTTGGGCAGAGGAAAGTCAGTCCTTGGTTCTAATGCTTTTCATTGTTTACAGTTCCCTGTTACCGATAATTCCTGAACAGAGAATTGGAAAATATGTACACCTGGATTGTGACAAAGATGTTATGAAGTCACTCAGTCACATAGCTGACTTCTTCATTGCATGAGAAGATGACATGCAAAATTTTAGACACTCTTAGTGACACCACACTCTCCTGGGAATTACATTCTCCCAGCCAAATGGGGTATTGAAAATTCCTTTCATCAATGGTCTGAGGTCAGTTAGATTTGAGATATGTGGGCAGCATGAAAATATCATAAAAATAAGAGTCATTGATGCTGCAATGATGGCCCTTTATGTGGAGCAAAGAGAAATGGAATAGAGTAATGCTTTGTCTGACTCTGGTCAAGAGAACCTTACTTACGCATTTGTTCTCCTACTTTGTAACATCAAGGTTTTTCCTGTGTCCACTTTTTCTCACAGAAGTCTACTGCAGTGAGCAATATTTCACCCCCATACATTCTCATCTGTCTCTCTGTTCTGGGGAACTGATAGACTTTACTAGCTACCTTGATTATTCCGTGTCTAGGGCCTATTATTGAGTTTACTCAAAGGAAGACAGGAAAATGTGAAAGTTTAGTTTTGGGATATATTTTTACAGATGCTTTTTCTTTGGTTTCTGACAACTGTTGCTATCAATGGTTTCTCTGGCATCTTTGCTGTTGTTGTTCCCAAGAAATAGTACAGTACCTCATTGCCTTTTTACTTAAAAACTTACAAAATAAACCTTACAACATTCAGAATAAAATTGTCTTTAAGCCTCATTAATTGTACAATTTTGATTGTATCATTTCTTATGCCAGGTATACAGCTGATATTCTAGTTACTCTAAGTCACAGTAATTTCTACTTGGCATATTTGTGAGACATACAGTTTTAGCTATAGAAATTGTAATTGTTCTTTTTCCAGATAGTTGTATATTTAATTTAATTATGAAGCAATCTTTGTTTTGTTTTTTTTGAGACAAGGTTTCTCTGCATAGCTTTCGAGCTTGCCCTGGCACTCTCTCTGTAGACCAGGCTGGCCTCAAACTCATAGAGATCTGCCTGCCTCTGCCTCCCAAGCACTGCGATTAAAAAAGTGTATCACCACCACCCAGCTTAATTATGAAGCACTTATCCCACCAGATATTTTAAAAATTAAGTCAGACTTCAATATTTTTGATAATCCTTACTGACATATATGGAAATTTGGAGGTGTGTTGGATATTATTTTGCCAACTTGACATAAGCTAGAGATATTTGGGAAGAGAGAATCTCAGCTGAAGACATCCCTCCACAACGTAGGCCTGTGGGAAAGCCTGTGGCATATTTTCTTGATTCATGATTGAAATGGGAAGGCCCAGCTCACTGTAGGCAATAGCGCACCTTCACAGGTGGTCCTCGGTTGTATGAGAAAATAGGTGGAACAAGGCTTGGAGAGGGAGTCAATAAGCACCGCACCTGTATGAGCTATTTCAGTTCTTGCCTCGAGTTATTGCCCTGACTTTATAAATGATGGGCTATCAACTGTACAGTTGAATTTCTCCCCAATTTGCTTTTAGTTGTGGTGTTTTCCCCATAATAGAAGCCCTAAATAAAACTGCAGGATAATGAAAGACATTCAATATATGAGTTTTGTAATAGGTAAAATATTTGTTTAATACATGTTGGTGTAATAGAGAACCAGCAATTTTATCACAGTAGTAACTATGAAGACATCAATTACAACAAATGGGTTCCAGTCACCCACAGCATTTCTGGTTTCTGTTACAGTAAGGTAAAAAGCTGATGATATGATTTTCATTTAACAAGGAGGTGACATAAGTATCTACTCTGACGTCACCAAAATTTTGAGGATTACATTACTATGTTAAGAAGTTTCCGAGGTGAGGGAGATGAAGCCCCAATCATTTGTTTCCAGGAACCACACACGGAGTAATTCAGATCAGGACTTGTAGAGTGTCTAAGTCCATCACCCGTGGCCAGCTTGGGTTAGTCATAGAACTAAGGTGCTGCTTCCCGTGTGTGAGGGAAAGGCTGTCTCCTCTCTGACCTGTCAGCAGACCAGGAGTAAAGGTGCATGACTGATACCTGTGGGAAGGAAGCATTGCATCATTTTATGACGTTCCAATGACTACATAATGTGTAAAAGTATGCATTCTGTTAAATCAGGATAGTATAAGATTAAAACTCCCTTTTCTTATGATACCATTTCTATTTTTCCTAGCTTTGATATAATTTTATAACTGCAACTTTGTTTATACATAATTTAAGTGTCTGAGTGAGTAAAGGAAAAGATAGAAGGTATTGTACTATCATTCTCATTTTCATAGAATCTAGCATAACGATTTAAACTTTAAGATATTTTGCTCAATTACTGAATTAAATGCAAATACTTAAAAGAAAGTTAATATATTGGCTGTTCATGAGGAGAGCTAGAAACATATGTAGTTTTTGTTTTAAAATAATAAAAACATAATATATTTACAGGATCTTGGAATCTTGAGAAAATACTACAAATTTCCCAAGAAACTAAGGATTGCCTTAAAAGTCTTGAGAACTGAACCATAGAACAGGAAGCTGATCCTGGATGCTCGACTGCTGGGAATTGGCCCTCAGAGGCAAATTCATCCACCCTGATGAGTCATGGCATTAAAAATGATGAAGAATATGAACTGGGTAAGCCATGATTAATTGTTGAATGGGATGAAACTCAAACAGTATATGCAAATGTTAGTAGTTAATGTTAACTTTTAAAATGTTCTCTATACTTTTAGTACATCTTCAATACCATTGTTTCAAGTAGCATTTATTCTTTTACTATCATAAGAATTTTCATTCATAGATGTACAATTCTAAAGAAATTAATACTATATTTTGATATTAATCTTCTATTACTAGTTTTGATGGTATATAATTTTATTCTTATTTATTTTCCTAGGCTGCTAGATTGATATGTTCTTGCTTCTCTTCAAAATGGAAAATATGTTTCTTTAAATAAATTTAAATTCCATAGAACACTGAACTCAACAACCAAGACAAGTTTGGAGAATATATACAGAGTGAAATTTTTTTATTTTAATATTTTTTTATTTATTTTTTAAAATTTTCCATTGAAATATTTACACTTCCTTCCCTCCTCCCAATCCCCTCCTGCTCCCCCACACCTCCTCCTCCCTCTCCCGCCCTGCTTGAGAGAGGGCAGGGAACCCTGCCCTGTGAAAAGTCCAAGCCCTCTCCCCTACATTCAGGACTAGAAAGGTGTGCATACATATAGATTAGGGTCCCAAAAATACAGAACATGCCGTAAAAACAAGTCCCAGTGCCTTTATCAATGGCTTCTCAGTCAGTCCCCATTGTCAGCCACAATCAGAGAGTCCGGTTTGATCACATGCTCATTCAGACCCGGTCCAGCTGGATTTAGTGAGCTCCCATTAGAACAGGCACACTGCCTCAGGTGATGGACCAACCCCTCGCGGTCCTGACTTCCTTGCTCATCTTCTCCCTCCTTCTGCCTTTCAACTGGACCTTGGGAGCTCAGTCCATTGCTCTCATGAGGGTCTCTGTCTCTATCTCCATCCATCGCCAGACCAAGAGTCTATGGTGGTATTCGAGATAATTATCAGAGTGAAAATTTTGATAAGCATTTATAACAAATAGTAGACTGTATAGTAAAACTGCATTCTAGACAGATGCTCTTTTCAACCCACTCATTATGGGAATGATATAAGGTACTGTGGCAGTGAAATGCATCCAGAAACCCCACCTGAAGACTATGTGAGTCTTCATTTTAGTCCCATTTCCTTTGATTTGGCAATTCTGCAGAGCAGCACTCTTCTTGATGTTGCTGCATGCATCCAGCTTCCTTTGATCTGCAGACCCATCACTTAACTGTTCTTGGCTTAGAGACTGCTATGTTGAGATGAGGAAGCTGGAGACTGTATCTGAACTCCTCACAGATGAGGAGCAAATAGAGGAACAAAACCATAGAATGCTTTTCCATTCTTAGTCCCAAGACAAACAGCTCGAGGCGATACGATTCCTCTGTCTGGGGGACGCTGTATTACAGAAGCATCTCTCCTCTGGGAGACAACACTTAAAAAGCAAGATTGAGAGTTCTATGATTGTTTCTCAACTTCTGTGGCCACTACTTTTCAAAAAAAAAAAAGCATCAAAGTTAAACAAGAAATGAATCTGCAAAACCCCAAGTTAGCTGTCCAGATAGCTACTGGGTTCACACAAGATTGCATGGAAGAGAAAAGAAAAGCCTTGTAACTAATCCCCATGATTTGGAGATTGTAGCCAAATCAGAAACCAGTCATTATTTACTGACATCAGAGTGAAGAAAAGATCACCTCAATTATTTTTGCCTGAATTTTTTAGCTAAGTCACTCAAGAACTCACTCTTGATTTCATATCTATTTTTTTATTCTCCTGTAAAGACACTGCTCAAGCTGTTTTTCCCACATGATCAACAGAAACATTCATAGTAAACCTTAGCGAGTGTTTTTTTTTTACAGTGAATAAAATATTTTTCTTTACCCAGCTCCTTTTATTTAAATGGGTATTCCTGGGGAGACATCAGCCGTCAATCTTGACTACCTAAGGTTGATCTCAAGGGACCACTTTATGGAAGAAGAGAAACAGTTTTCTCAAATTGTTTTCTCCTGACATTTCCCTAAATCACATGGCACACACACACACACACACACACACACACACACACACACAATTAATACAAAAGAAAATTAAAGCATAGGTATTCCTAATTATATATTCTGCACATAGAAAAGTATCTAAACTTTTAAATACCTTTTTTAAAATAAACAGTTCCAGGAATAACAGCCTAGAAGAAAAGAGAAGGGGGTAGTGAGTGTCCAGATCTATAATCTTTTCCCACCTACCTGTTTCCCCATTATGTGTTTATATATTCCTCCTATGTACAAGCCTTTAGGACAAGGCTACAATATTTTTAAGTTGGACATGATGTAGATCACCCCAGTTGTTGACTCAGGATCTCATTCTCCATAATATGCAATCTACTGTTAATAATTATCATGTGTTTCTTATATATTCACAAATATTCATAAGTGAAAGAGGTTCACCCTCCATGAGACATGGACATTTTCATGTTTTATATTCCTAGTATCAACAAAGTTCTAAAACTATTTTAATATCTACATATGTGTTTTGTGTATTGTTTAATCACTTAAGGTGACAAAATTACTTTTGTCAGGTATAGTCTGAACAGGGACTGGGAATGGGAGGTCAGGGAAACTGTGAATATACATATACAATTTTGCTTTGAGTTTTGAGTCCTTGGGTTTCAGTCAGGATATATGATGTTAGATTGATGACTCAGAGTCACTTTTTCCCTCTCATGCAATGAGTCAAAGAGTATGGGGAGTTGGCTAGAGCTAAGCATAAATCTAAGAGAAACCATGAGCCATAGAACACTCTTTAAAACCTGGAGCAGAATACAAAGTGACTAATTACTATCTGAAATTTATAGTAGCCTTAATCTACTCTAAACTAACAACTTCAACACCCAGAGCAACTTCTGTAGTTAAGGTGTCACTTAAGAAGAGGGAACCACCAGTTACGCTCTAAAGTGACTAGCAATAATGAGACTATTTTGCCTTGTTTGTATTTCTTGAATACTTATGAAAATGTTAGTCCTCTTTCTAAAATTAAACTTATTTACTTATTTTTATACTTTGACCACAGTTTCCCCTACCCCCTCACCTTCCATTTCTTCCTTCCACAACCTCTTCACCCCTCCCAACACTCTCCTCCTGTTTCTGTTCAGAAAGGGGCAGGCTTCCCATGAGTATCAACAAAGCATGGTATATCGAGTTAAGGCAGTACTAAACACCTACCTTAGTATTAAGACTGGGAAAAGGCAGACGGAGCCAGCGGCGGCGCAGGCGCCCGCAGACGGAGCCAGCGGCGGCGCAGGAGGGCAACGCAGGACAGGCCGCAGGCCAGGCCGGGACCGGAGGGGACTGGCGCGGTGGCAGAGGACGCAGGCGGCAGGGACCAGCGCGCAACACCGAGAGCAGATCGCCCCACTACAATTAAATCAAAGAGAAAGAAAGAGACAGCGGACCTGCACGGCGCAGGCGCCCGCAGACGGCAGAGCGGAGCAGCGCAGGCCGGCAACGCAGGCCAGGCCGCAGGCTGAGGCCGGGACCGGAGGGGACTGGCGCGGTGGCAGAGGACGCAGGCAGCAGGGACCAGCAAGCAACACGGAGAGCAGATCGCCCCACTACAATTAAATCAAAGAGGTAGGCCTTTGGTTGGCGAGGGCCCTGGCAAACGGGGAGCCGGGTCCTGTTCCAGAAAACCCTTCTGAGGGGTGAGAGGGTTCTTGGCCCCAGGCAGGAGCCAGGAAACAGAGCGAGGGCAATTAGTAAGAGAAGCCTCTGGCCAGCAGAGAAACCCGATCCGATTTTAAAAGACCAATTAGATAGCATTGAAAGGAGGAGATGGGCAGGCGCCAAGGCAGAACATTACCCAATAATTTGAAAAACAACATGAAAACGCCAGATCCCAAAGATCTTACAACAGAAAGATTTGAACACCCTAACACAGAAGAAGTGGAAAAAATTGACTTTATGAAAGCAATAGAATCCCTTAAAAAAT